GAAGAGATGGTAAAGTCGTTTCATTGGTTGTCCTCGTAGACACAAGCAACGGAAGAGAGTGGGCACCCGGGTGCATCACAAACACCGAGGCACGCGAGCAACAGTCGCAAGACGCGTTCGGAACTCGGAACACATGACAGCAGGGAACGCGCGACAACTTGCCAAAGATTCTGCTACAGGAGATACCCCGAATATCCAAATGACCGATGGACGGCCACGCACTTGCGCACTTGCATAGCTCAAAATCACACATGAGTACTACCGCAGTAGCCTTCGTAAGGATGGCATAATCCACCTCACGAACAACAAATGGCCAAAGGAAAGAGAAACTGAAATAAAAAGAGCGAGGACGAAAATGGGCCAGGCCGAAAATAACAAGAATTAAGAGACAGAAAAAGGCACACGGGCAGGAGACCACTAACGACAAGCAAACTCGCAAAGATGGCCACCAACCAGCGATACATTGTAATGGTACGTCATCACTAGTGGGGGGTTGGTGCAATGGTACAGCGTTGTGGGGGGGGAATTGGCTAAAAGAAAAATTCAATCCGGCACGTATCGCGCCACTCGGTCCGTCTCTTTCTCGTTTGCTTTTTTCCCTCGCCGTCTCGTCCGTCTCCTGCCCCCCTCCCGCCCCATTGGTTGGTGGCTTGTGGTTTCGTTTGAGCGCCCGTTGTCGGCTCGCCTCTTCTTCCTTCTCGTGCCAGGAGGTCATGCACCTCTCAACTCCCTGCAGCACCGCCGCATGCCAGGGTACTCCCCCCTCTACCTTCGCGGCTTCCGTCCACTTTAACGTCGGTGCCGGATCGTTCGGTACCGGGATTCCGAAACAACATGGATCGGTTTTCGTAGATCCGTGGTCGGCCCCGAATGCCTTCAGGTCGTCGAGCACACACTTCGGCCAGTTCTGTTCCTGTCCCCCCCTACGTCGCTTCTCCTCCCCTGCCAGTTCGCCGAACATCAGTCGTTTCGGGAGTCGCCCGTCCGGCTGCCTTGCCAATGCTCCCGCGAACAGTAGGCGTCGTTGTCGGATCGTGGCTTCAACGCTCTGACATTCGACCCTCTTCATCGTCTGGGCGTAAGAGAGCTGCCGGTAGGTGTCTTTCTTGCGCTTGTACCCGATAACTCGAAGGAGCAGTCGGTGGTGTATCGACCGCAGCGTCTGATAGTGGCCGCTGAGTGGTGACCATGTCATGCAACCGTACAGCAGTGCCTCCATCGCCTCCGCCTGGAGCAGGCGGATCTTGAGTGGGAATGGCGCTTGCGGTCTGTCGACGAGCTCCCGGCCATATCGCCTGATGCACGCCCACGCTCCTCTGCTCCTGTAGTTGATCTC